TGAGGTCGAGCGTGTGTAGGGAGGTGTGTGGGGGGGTAGAGGGAGGGGATTCGGATGGAGGTGTGTGTGAGGAAGAGGAGGATGTGAGGAGGGAGAGGAGCCAGCCACGTTGCCCCTGGGAAGCAGCCGGCATCTCGTACCCCTTCCGGGAAGCTTCTTCTGCTGGGCCAGAGGAGGCGGTGCATGGTGTGATACCCGTTCATGGTGAAATGCATGGGGTCATGCATGGGGCCATGCGTGTTGGCATGGATGGTGGCACGGATGGGGCCATGCGTGGTGGCATGGATGGTGAAGAGAAGTCAACACGTGAACATGGAGATCACGATCATGTGTTGAGTCCAGATCAATACGAGCATGCGCGTGGGTCCACATCAAAGCATTCGTACATGTTTCTAAAGGAACGGTTTATTCAGATTGCGGCCAAGAGGGTGTCTTTTAGTATACGGGTGGACCACATTCCGTAATCCTTAAGTTAAACTTACCAATAAATGCATTGCCTTTTTTGGGTAACGAGGGTATGGTGCTCTAGTATCACAAGTGTGTACTACAAGTGCATGCCTTTTTCTCTGCTAGAATAACCAAGTGTTCAACTAGCTTGTGTTGTGTTCCATCAGGTTGGACGATGCTTGCAAGACTCCACAGCAACACTCTGCATGTCAGCTTTCTCATCTCTTGTTTTACATAGAAATTAGCTAAATGTCACAAGAACATACTCAATCATGTTCTTGATAACAAAACACGAATTACCACGAACAGAGTATATATTTCTGGAATGTCATAGGAAAACACGTTAAGGCCCCTCCCAAATAACAATTATAGCGCGTGGGGGTCAAGCGGGCCTGGGGCTTGAGGGTGCATTCCTGGCTCGTGTCAAACTTCCAGTCAAATTTGTGTTTTCCGAGACCAGGGGCGAATTTTAGCCGGAAGACCCGAAGTGGGTCGCGGATGACCCAAAGTGGGGCCACCTGTGGGGCGGCTTCGTGTCATCCCCAGAAGACCGGAAGTTGACACGAGCCAGGAACGTACGAGGCTCGGTTTCCACGCCCTAGTTTGCTCATCCGTGTGCTATTTCCCCGTGTATCCGCCCACGGGTCGCGAAATGAAATCTTAAGTCTTAAATCTAATCAGTCCGGTTTGATACTTTCCCGCTAAGGGTTGGGTCCATTTGTACAGTTGGATGTCACCCTCCAGCCTGGCAACATCGAACGTTTTCAAAAATGCCCCGAAGGGAGGCTTTACAAAGTGGAGGGGAGTGAACAGAGAGGCCTTAGGGCGTGTAACTTTTCTCCGACCAAAAAAAATGGTCGACCGTATGAGCGGTTCTGACGATTGCGAAGTCTGTAGGGTTACCCAAACAGTCTGTAGTCACCCTGACTCGACAGAGATAGGAAGGTATTCTTTCGTATAAACCTGCCAACCAAGCTAGTCGGGACTCTACTTAGCAGGAGATCATGTTTGACATTCGGTTTTCGCCCCCGAACGCGTTTTCAGACCACCGTTATTTTGCTGAACAGTCAAAATACCCGCGCCTACTATTTTCCACACCCAGTTCGATGCTGGAACTGGGATCAAACCTTTTCCGACCAATTTCAAGGGTGGTTTAGGGTGGTTGTTCCGCGTCCTGGCGAACAGAATGGTCGTTGTGCTCGTAATGTTTGGCGGGGCTCGTCAAATCGTTACAAGTTTCGCTCTCGCCAGATCCGGCCATTCGGTCGGATTTCGGGCTTGGTCTAAGCAAAGTTACACGCCCTCAGTACACTATATCTCAGCCTGCAGTTCGTCGAGATAAGCCCGCTTCGAGATAGCCAAGCCAGCTGCCAGCAGTCACCAACCTTGCCTACAAGGTGGAGGTTTCCCCGTTCACCAACGCACGTGATGAACGCCATTGAAACACAAAAGTTGCTACTACACCCAAGTGTTCGTTTGATGCACCCGCGATTGTGCTATCGGCTCGGTACGCTCACATAGAAGGTTGGGAGCGATGCGTTTATGTCACATAGAATCGATTCACACGCGTGATCAGTTCAGCATTGAATTGCTAAACGTCGAAGAAAATTGGTGGCAGAACACTACAGTTACATGCATTCGCGCTAAAGACGAGGCCAAATTTATTAGTCATGATTAGGTCAGGCCGGCCTAGAGTTGCAAAAACGTATTTATAGCCACATTTTGGGAGCAAGGGACGGCAATACGCAGGGAAATGTGACTCGCAGACGTTAAAAGCACCTGGCAAAAAGGACAAGCACCTCCGACCGAAACGCGCTTGGTGAGATAAACGAATAACCGGGTGAGCGGGGCGATAACTGTTTCGCAGGTGTAGAAGGTACACCCTGTTTCGCGCTAGCAGAGCATCTGGTTGCAGAACATGCGCTGGTTGTAGAACGTCACCACGTTTGAAATGGTCTTATCACCGACGGTACAAGCACATTCACAAGAAAGCGGTTAGCTAGGATGCTGCATGGTAAAGAACATTAACCAAGCGTTTCAAAGCGGTTTAAAAGGGTATACAGCGATAAAGAAAATTTTTGCCCCCAGTACCACTCCGTCAGCTGGTGCGGCTTTGCCCGCAGGTTTCAGCCATACGGTTTATGGCACCTGACCGCACTGTAGCAGCGAATCGCGCAAGGTGAGAGGGTCGAGAAACAGGGTGTACAACAGGTGGCGAGGCGATAACTGTTCGCAGCACACGGCAAGCTGACCCACAGGATAGCCAGCAAGTGTTGTGTTGGATTAGATTAGAGTACTGTACAGCTGTCCGTAAGTGTGGGTGGCTTGTAAACTAGGCGGTAGACTAACTTAGTAATTGATTAAAGCAGCTTGTAATTGCTCGCACTTGCTTCTAAGCTTTACACAACCACACTGTCCCCTTCACGCGGAGCCGTCGTCTCTGCTTGAAACTCCCAATGTGGCAGCTGTTTGTAATCACTATCGCTCAAATCTCGTCAGTAGCCAACTAAAATGACTGAGAGTATTCTTCCGGGTTTTCCGTGCTTCGTAGGCTGACGGAACGGAAATAAACTGCTCGGGCAGGCTGCTGGGATTCCCGCCCAAAGATCTTGGGGACTTTGAGCTGCCTGCTTGGGTTTCTGCGGCGCGTCCATTCACCGCCTTCGCGAGAGGCGGCAAGTCAGCAAAAGTGGGCGGCGGAAAAGAAAAGTGTACGGCAAGTTACCGACCAGTGCTCTGATAATTGGTCTGGCAGGGGGCAGCACGAATGATCAGCCTGAAAAAAAAAAAAAAAAAAAAAAAAAAAAAAAAAAAAAAAAAAAAAAAAAAAAAAAAGTCGTCGAAGCTCCGAATGTGACCAGAAGGAAGTTACCGCTACTCGGAAACCCATCTAGCTCCTCGGGACATGCTACTCTTGCCGCTCCGAATTTCGACGGTTGCTGAGAGTACCAGACCGACTGTTCCCAGTGATTAGTAGCACGACTGTTCATCCGAGCTGCGTGCAGGTCCGTGGGGAAACTCGCCATACGACCAGCAGCTGAGGCCTCTCATGATCGCCGTAAGACAAGACCCTTTTTGTGAGTCTGTCCGTGACCGGGTGACTTTCTGACTTTTAGTCGAAGCTCGTGGCTCTCAGAATGACATTCTCAAACCCTTGGGAGCTCCAGTTATCCACCACTGCCACTGGTGGTGGATTTATCAGAACGCCCCCACGATCGCCCGACTCGAGCCACTTAGTAACGTTGCTCGCTTCCGAAACGCCCAAGAAAACGCACCATCGTCGTCATCGTAGCTTCACCATTGGTGCCGCTGCTGCCATGCCGTCTCCATCATGTGGGTCTACAACCACTGGCAGTGTCATGCCGGCCGATGATTTTTCCGAGCCTTTTCCCCGATCATACTCGCATCATCGCCAGGAAGCAGCAGTGCCGAGCACGCCTGCTCCGCCCGCGGCAGCAGCAGCAGCAACTTCGTCGGCACCAGCTGCTAAGAATAATCGTCGCCCGACCCACCGCCGCTGCGTCAGCAGCGTTGACACGAGCGGCGGCGGCTTAAGCAGCGGCGCCAACAGAGGCGTCAGCAACGGAGCCACCGGCGTTAACAGCAGTCCGAGGTGCAAAAGCAAGGACGTTGAATCTGGACGCGCCCTCACCATGCCGCGTTGCCGCACTTTCAACCATCAGCTCAGCTCTGCCCAGACACCGCCTAGTATCAATGTCGAGTCCACTATAACGGGGTATGCCTTCACTGCTCCAGCTGCTGCTTGGGATGGTGCTGAGAGTATTAACAACAGCCCCCGTTTCAGTCACAGCAGCCCTCGGCCCAATCACCGCAGTCACAGCAGTCCCCGTGTCAGTCACAGCAGTCCCCGGGTCAGCCACAGCAGTCCCCGACCCGGCAGCGGCTGCTACAGCAACCGCAGCCACAGCACCCCCCGTCACAGCCAGAGCACCCAAAGCAATCCGCCCATCGACTGCCTAAACGGCAGAACACAAGGGCACTTCGCAGCTGGCTCAAGAATGGACTCTTATCACAGGGACTCTTATAACGGGGACTCATTCAATGGCGACTCTCTCAATGGGGATTCTTACAACGGGGACTCTTACCATGGGGACTTTTATAATGGTGAATCTTATAATGAGGACTCTTATAAAGGGGGCTCTTATCATGGCAAGGTAGCAGCAGAGAGCGCCAGCTCAGCACACAGTAAAGCCGCACGAGCTACAGTTAATTCTATCACGGCACAAAATGCCGTTGCAGCAGGTTGTAGTAGTATAGGTTCTGGTGACAGGATGGAAGCGGATCTGTATGGGGCAGAGCATTTAGAGGAGCTCCATGCACACGTTTCTGGTAGTGTTGAGACGTCTCTAAACTCAAGCGCTGCAGCAGGTTCTAGTAGTATAGGGTCTGATGAGAGGATGGAAGCGGACCTATATGGGACAGCACATTTCGAGGAGGTCGATGCACACGTTTCTGCATCGGGTTCCGCAGAAGCAGTAGCACCAACAGAGAGAAGTCCACGTGGCAGGCCAGAGAACCAGCTCCCCAGCAGAATGAGCTCCAACACTTACCATCACCACCCTTCAGACAACTTCCGCTTCTCTCCCTCCGGTTTTGGCAGCAGAAGCATGACTTACCCCCGATCCCCCCCCTTCTGGGCCCCCTCTACCCACCCCCCCCACTCCTCCCAATCCCCCCCCGCCCTCTCCGCCCACTCCGCCCAATCCCCCCTCTCCGCCCGCTCCCCCATCTCCGCCCACTCCGCCCAGCGCCCTTCCCGTTCCCTTCACTCCCCCGCATCAGCTCACTCCCCCGTCTCCCCCCACTCTGACCCCTCATCCCACCCGCGTCACAAGCACGCTAAATCTCTCTCCCCGCAATCCCACCCGCGTCTCGAGTCAACTCAAGACTCCCCCATATCGCCATACTCCGCCCTCTCCGCCCTCTCCGCCGTCTCCCCCTCCGCTGGCTCCTCATCCCACGCGCGTCACAAGCGCGCATGGTCCCTCTCCCTTGGACCAGACGCATGCCTCGAGTCGACTCAACACTCCTCTGCACTAGCTCCCTCCGACCCCTCCGCCTTCTCCCCGCTCTCGTCCCACCACCCGCGCCACACACGCGTAGGCTCTCTCTCCCTGCGCTCCTCCTGTGCGCCCTGCTCGCCTCTCTCCGCCTCCCCCACTGCCTCTGCTGCTACCTCTCATGCGTCTGAGCCTGATTGGTCCGGCAAGTGGGGCAGCAGGAGCTTGCGTTTGGAGCTCTATAACGGGGATGCTAGCCTCTGCAGCAGTCAGAATCTCTATGTTGATTTCAGTCCTCCGGATCGGCAGCAAAAGCAACGGCGAGATCAACAGCCACACCGAAACCAACTCCAGCAGCAGCAGCAGCAGCAGCAGCAGCAGCAGCAGCAGAAACATGGGAAGGGGACGGAAAGCGAAGAGGATGACTCAGACGATGATTTCATCGGGCTGTATGGCGCTGTGCTGCGCAGTCGTACCATCAGCAACAGGCGGGTTCGCAACCACCACGCGAGCAGCAGTACCAGCAACGTGGGTAACAGCAAGGAGCATAGTAGCAGCAGGGAGCAGAGTAACAGCAGGGAGCAGAGTAGCAGCAGGGAGCAGAGTAACAGCAGGGAGCAGAGTAACAGCAGGGAGCAGAGTAGCAGCAGGGAGCAGAGTAACAGCAGGGAGCAGAGTAACAGCGGCAACCAGCCAAGCAGCAACAGTCAGCTGAGCAACGAAAATGGGTTGAGAAGCTTGTGCACTGCTGACCTCACCACTACGAAACCACTCAGCCCGCGTGCTTCTCCCCGCTCTGCTGCCCTCGCCACTCTCATGCCACTCAGCCCCCATGCTTTTCCCCGCTCTGCTACCGTCCCCACTCCCAAGCCACTCAGCCCGCGTGCTTCTCCCCGCTCTTCCGCCATCGCCACTCCCAAATTGCCGAGCCCTTGTGCCTCCCCCCCCCATCCCGCCCAGCCGCATGCCGTTCCGCCTTGTCGTGCACCCGCTCCTTATGCTGTCGATGGGGATACGAATGGGGGGAAGGAAGGGAGAAAGAGCCCGAGCGTTATCGGGTGCAAATCTTACACTGATCTGCCTAGGGTAATATCATTCGGATGGTGGGAAGAGCTCAACTCTGAGATTATATGTCAGGAGAGGAAGGAGAGGAAGGAGAGGGAGGAGAGGGAGGAGGAGAGGAATGAAATGAAGGAGGAAATGAAGGAGGGGAGAACGGAAGAGCGTAAGGAGAGGAAGGAGGGAGTAGCGCAGGAGGAAAAGAAGCAGGAGAGCAACACTCGAGGTAACGTGCAAGCGAGCCGCAACCGGAGTAGCAGTAGCAGCACGGTCATGAGGAGAAGCATATCCCTTACCAGCTCTATCAAGAGCGGCCTCCGAACCAGCATCAGCAGCAGCATCGGTAGCAGCATCGGTAGCAGCGTCGGTGGCAGCATCGGTAGCAGGCTCAGTGGTCGATGGAGCAGGCAGCTTCAGAGAAGCTCCAGCAGGGGGAGTGGCAGAGGGAAGGGCGATGAGGCAGTAGCATCTCTTGAGGCGCTGCAGCAAGGCAGTGGTTGTGCGAGTGGCAGTGGGTTGAGCGATGAGGCACCTGGGAATGGTCAGCCTTCAGACAAGGAGGAGTTGAGAGAGGGAGGAGAAGAAGTGAGTGAGGAGGAGGAGGAGGAGGAGGAGGAGGAGGAGGAGCAGAGAAGCAAGGGTGGGGCGTGGAGAAGAAGCAGCAGTTTCAGCTTCAGCAGCATTGCGAGCAGCATCAGCAGTGGGTTCCCCTGGTATTCCACTGACGGTGACAGTACCAGTGCCACTACCAGTGAGAGGGTGATTAAGAGATTGAGTGGGAGGGTGCGTGAGAGGGTCAGTGGTGGTGCAAGGACTACAGCACCAGCTTCAGCTTCAGCAGCATTGCGAGCAGCACCTGCCAGCGTTACTAGCAGATCTGGCAGAGATCGAGTGCGTGAGAGGGTCAGTGGTGGTGCAAGGAATACAGCCACTGCTAGCGTTACTAGCAAATCCGGCAGAGCGCGAGTGCGTGAGTGTGGGGTTTTTGAGGTGGGGGGGGCGGACGAAGACAGGAAACTCAGACAGAGAGGAGTTTGAGAGAGATGCGTGAGAGAGAGAGAGAGAGAGAGAGAGAGAGAGAGAGAGAGAGAGAGAGAGAGAGAGAGAGAGAGAGAGAGAGAGAGTGCGAGAGGGTGTGTGAGAGAGTGTGCGAGACAGAGTGTGAGGAAAAGGAATCTGGTGGAGAAGAGGGTCTGAGGAGAGAGGAATATGAGCAACGCCGCCCTTGGGAAGCAGCCGAAATTTCGTAGGTACCCCTTCTTGGAAGCTCCTGTGGGGCCGGAGAAGGCCCATGCTGCCATTCGCGCGCATGGTGGCATGGCCGCGCATGGTGGCATAGATGGTGGTGTGTAGAATGATGGACAGTCAACACAACACGTGATCCTCGTCCCGAGCAGCCACTTGAGGAGGAGGAGCAATGGTCCCGGCTTCGTGATCAGCATCAAGATCAACACCCGTACGCTCGTGAAATGCGCATGGGAATGGGAATGCGCGTGGGAATGGGAATGCGCATGGGAGTGCGCATGGGTCTACATAAAAGCATCTGTACAAGTTTCTGAAGGGCCGGTTCATTCAGATTGCAGCCAAGCGGGTGACTTTTAGCATACGGGTGGATCATATTCCGTAACCCGTACGTAAGATGTGAGACTCCGGTTTGTATGTATGACATCAAAACATTATTACGGTATTCACTCTGTGTTCCAATCCTTATGTGTGATGTAAGCGGACCAGACCAGATGCCTAATTCAGTAGGTACCACCGTATTCCTTGCAGATGGTGTTTGGAAGGCTGTTTTATGACAGCTGTGAAAGTCAGATCAAATCAGATACGCACAGGTGCCTTTTCAGAAAAGATTTGCTTCATACCGTATACACCCTGACAAACACACCTACTATAGAACCCCTGCTTACAGGGGAGTTGGGTTATTAGGTAGTTGAGACAAGGATAAGAGGGGTAAGAGTGGGGCGAAAGGTGGGGAGGGGGAAAGGGAGGTGGGAAAGGGAGGGGGGGAGGAGTGGGGAAGGGGAGGGGAGGAATTAAACAAGCGGTTTGTGATGTGAGAACAAACAAGCACGGACCTAAACCTGAAGTGTGAAGCTTTAACAGCTTCTAGTGCTAAGTGACTCTGTCTGCCATAGAGCAGAGCACTCTGCCTAGCTCTCCTCCCACCCCGATAAAGATTGGTAAAGATTAGTTTGCACTTGACCGGAATCTCTAGCAGCCTTCTAACTTCCCAGCCAACAGTCCGCCTGCCTGCTCTCTAATCCCGTCTTGTGTGCATTGTCTTCATCACACTATCGCAAAGCAGGTGGTTGACAGGTGTCAGAATCCCTGCTAACTTCCCAACAGTTCGCCTCCCTGCGTGCAACACAGAGTGCTCTGCTCTCATTCCCAGCTTGCATACCTTCACTGTCTCAACATTTTCTTCATCACACTATCGCAAAGAAGGTGGTTGATGCTTCTTTGAAGCAACGAAAGAAAGCCCCCTCTCTGCTCCACTCCACTCTGATCCAATGCTTCTCTCAAGCATGAGTACCCGCCTCCAACTGCCACCACTCGCTTGCTTACTTGCTTGCAGTAAGCCCCATTGCCTGGAAAGTGTACACCCACACACCAGTCATTGTCTGGAAAGTTCACACCCACACACCAGTCATTGCCTGGAAAGTGTACACCCACACACCACCGCATCACCCATCATCAGTCACCCAGCGAGCGCAGGGATGACAAAAAAACCCGTTCCGGCCTTATTCTGCCTCCTTCTCTTCTCCCACTCCTTTCTTAGCCAAGACACCACGCCACACCAGCAGGGAGTGTGTTTGATTGCCCTCGGGTGTCCTCCCCCCTCGTACAGCAGCACGGAGCGACACCCGCACATTCACCACCGCAGGAAACCCATCAGACATCTTCCTCTGGTCGTACCTCGGTTCCCGCCACACCTCACACTCCACCCAGCCCCTCCCTTGGAAACCACCTTGCACACTTTTGAGTCGACTCAAAAGTCACCCCGCCACGCCTCACACTCCACCCAGCCCCTCCCTTGGAAACCGCCTTGCACACTTTTGAGTCGACTCAAAAGTCACCCCGCCACGCCTCACACTCCACCCAGCCCCTCCCTTGGAAACCACCTTGCACACTTTTGAGTCGACTCAAAAGTCACCCCGCCACGCCTCACACTCCACCCAGCCCCTCCCTTGGAAACCACCTTGCACACTCCTGCTGTTTCTTTCACACAGGACTTTCACACAGCAGCAGCAGCAGGGAGAGTGACCCTCACATCCACCACAACGGGGTACCCATCAGAAGTCTTCCTCTGGTCATACCTCGGCTCTGCCCACGCCTCACACTCCACGTTCCCCCTCTTCTCCCCTAAAACCACCTTCCATACTCCGCATCCTGTGCCAGAAACCACACTCCTACTGCCCCTTCTCACACAGCAGCAGCAGGGAGAGTGACCCTCACATCCACCACAACAGGGTACCCATCAGACGTCTTCCTCTGGTCATACCTCGGCTCTGCCCACGCCTCACACTCCACGTTCCCCCGCGACACAAACACATACCCTGCCCCCGGGTCCCGGTCCCCCATGCTCTTCCACGCGCCCATCCTCTCAGCCTCTGAGTCTACGAGACCCGGGGCGAGGAGAGTGAGGTAGGGCGGAGAGAGCGGGGGAAGATTGAAGTCTCCTCCAAAGATGAGGGCGGTGGGGGTGGGAGAGTGAGAAGGGGAGGGTGTTGGTGGGGGAGTGGGGGTGGAGGGGAGGGATGAAGCGAGTGGGTGGCTGGTGGTGGATGTAGGGGCTGGTGCTGCTTGTGATGCTGATGCTGCTTGTGAGCCCGAATCTTCGTGTGATGCTGATGCTGCTTGTGCGTCTGAAGCTGCTATTGACGCTGGTGCTGCCACCGAACCTGCTGCTCCCTCTGCCCCTGCTGCTGCTGCCGCTGCTGCCACTGTTGCTGTCTCGCCGTCTGCCCCTGAAACAGGATCCTGCAAAGCCTCTTCCCCTCCTGCATCTTCCTCAGTTTCATCCGCGGCTGCACTGCTTGTTGCTTGCATGCCACTGAATGAGCTGCTCTTTGGTACTGCTCCAGCAGCTACTGCTGCCCCTGGCACGGCTGCCGTCCCTGACTCTGCTGCCATTGACTCTGCTTCCACCACATCATGCACGGGGGAATGTGAAGCAAAATCTGCTGTTCCATCGTCTGCTTCACCTGAAAATTCACCTGACGGTTCCCCTGGGAGTTCACCTGCCAATCCACCTGACAGTTCACCTGCTGTTCCCATTCCCCTTGGGAATCCCACTTCTTGAGTCCTCCTCTCCTCTCTCTCCGCTTTATCCTCCTTCTCACCCTCCCCTCCCGCACCATGCTCCCCGCCCTTTCCCGCCTGCAGCACACTACGGACAAGCGACGCCGCCCGCTCAGCCTCCAACCGAATATCCACCTCAAGATCGCTGAAATGCGCGTTCATGATGTGAACAGGGTAACCAGACACGACCCCACTCGTCTGGTTACCCCACCCAGCTGCGCCCCTGTTGGTAACCATGTTACCACCTCCGGGAAGCATGTTACCAGCGCCTAGGAGAATCACTGCGTGCTGAAAGCAGGCGAGCTCGCCATGAGGGGAGGGGAGGGACTGGGAGGGCGAGGCGGAGAGGAGGGGGAAGCGCGAGAGGATGGCACAGCCCCAGGACTGGTGGCGGGCGGGAGGGGCGGACCACGCGTGCATGCCCAGCCATGTTGCGAGGTACTGCACCATGTCAACATTGCCGTGGATCATGTGCATTGTGTCCGACTCCTGTAGCCTGCCATGGGGGACAAGAATGGAGAAGGAGAAGGCAAAAAAAGGTCAAGGTCAGTCAAACATGGTCTAACCGAGTCAACATTGCCGCGGATCATGTGCATGGTGTCCGACTCCTGCAGCCTGCCTGCCATGGGGGCACGTGGAAAGAGGCGGTACGTCAAGGTCAAGGTCAGTCAAACATGGTCAAACATAGTCAGACAGAGTCAACACTGCCGCGGATCATGTGCATGGTGTCCGACTCCTGCAGCCTGCCATGGGGGGGCGGTGTCGAAATATTAGAATGAAAACAAATGTGCCAATCAGGAGAGCACGCTGAGCCGCGTTGAAAGAATGCGAGTCATCGACTCCAGCATTGCCGTGTGCCAATAATGTGCATGGGTCATGTGCATGGTGACCCACGTGGAAAGAATGGTGAACGACAGTAAATCAGGGTCACCATCGCCAATCGTCAAGCTGAATAAAGCACAGTCAGCATGGTGACCTATGTGTACTCACAATACAATGTCCGGCTTCTGCTGCCAGATCATACGCTCAACGGCGTCCAGATTCACTGAACTTGCACGGCTGAACTGTACACTGTAGGGGCCCATACCAACATTACGTTTTGCACGGTGGCGCGTACAGTACAATACTTACAATACAATGTCCGGCTTCTGCTGCCGGATCACATGCTCGATGGCGTCCAGGTTCACTGAACCTGCACGGCTGAATTGTACAGAGTAGGGCCCTATTTTCACAGTACATTTGCATTGTCCACTTACAGTACAATGTCCGGCTTCTGCTGCCATATGACATGCTCGATGGCGTCCAGGTTCACTGAACCTGCACGGCTGAACCCCTGCTGCACATTGAAGTTGAGCACCCGAAGCTGCACCCAAGCCTCCGAGCCAGGCTCGGCACTGCCAGAACTGCCGGAGCTGGTGCTGCTGCTGCTGCTGCCGAAGCTGCTGACGAAGGTTGGGGAGGAGGAAGGGGCGTAGGCGTATTGAAGGAGGAGGGGGAAGGGGAGGAGGAGGAGGAGAATCAGCAGAAGAGCTAATAGCGCCTGTTGTGGTAGGGAGTCCCGGCAGGAAAAGGGGTAGGGGGAACAGGACGGGGAAACAAAGCGGAGAAGAGGTGAGGGAGAGGAAGGATTAGGAGGAGGTGAATGAGGGCCAAGAAGGAGGGGGAGGAGAGGCAGGCGGAGGAAGAAATTGAGGGGAGTTGGACTGAGGAGGAGGCAGAAAGAGAGGACCAAAGGCGATGGTGGTGCGTGTGGTGCATGTGATGCATGTGATGCATGTGACGCATGTGGTGCATGTGATGCATGTGGTGCATATGGTGCATGTGGTGCATGTGGTGCATGTGATGCAAGTGGTGCATGTGGTGCATGTGGTGCATGTGATGCATGTGAGTGATGCAAGTGGTGCATGGAAGAGTAGCATTCTGTGGTGCAGGTTCGTCAAGGGGTGAAATTCCGGAAATCAGTTCCAAGAGACGGAAAGAAACCGGGGTAAATTTGTGAGAATTTGTGAAAAATAGTGATGAAGCCAGTATATGTATGAATGGATGAATACAACAAGGCCCACACAAGCAAGGAGCAGCTAGACAGCCCAGACGAAACGCAGCAGGCTATTGCGCCTAGACCAAACCAAGGCTCAACTCACAGGGTATGTACAGGTCAATTCTGATGCCACTGTAACACTCACGAGCATGCATGTCGCAGGAGCAGAGGCAAGATATAAACTCAAGAAGTGGCAAAGCATGGGCACGAGCAGTGCCCGCTACAGACTCTTACAACAAGTGAATCTGAGGCCACACAGGCCTTGCTTGAATGGACCAGGAGAAGGGGCTTTGAGCAGAAAGAGAGGAAGAGATGAGGTCAACCGTCAAAGGGAGCCCCTCCCTCCGTCCCTTGACATGAAGGAACCCTCCCTTGGGCTAAAATCCATGCATGTTTGCAGCTCGTGCTGCCTGTTTCCCCTGGTTTTACCTTCCTCTGTTTCCCAGCTCTCCCTGTTATTTAGACCGAAATGACAAGGTCCCCTGTGAGAGAGACATGAGGAAAGCAACAAGGATAAGGGCACCGAGCCTAACCATTCGATCCGGGACGCCGCTGCCCCACGCGAGCCGCCCGAGCCTCCACCACTCCGTCCGAACCGCCAGGTCGCCCCGCCGTCCCTCGCCTTTAGGTTCAGGGGCCCGCCATATTCCCCAAGCCACTCCTCCCATCGCCACCACCATTAGGACCGGCAAGCTCCCCCGAAGCAAGCCAAGAGGTCCGAGCTTTTCGTATGCCACCAAGGCTGCACTCCAAACCAGCAGGACAACATACCAGATTGCCGAACCTGCTGCTCCTAGGCCCGGATACGCCCCACCCATATTTTGTGCCAGCACAACCCACAGGCTCGGGATTGCCATGGCTAGGAGCGGAGCACCAAGAAGATAGGATCGGAAACCTGCAGCTTCGGCTGCTGCTGCTGCTCTGGCTGCAACCGCTGCTGGTTCGGAGAATGTGGATGTGCTAACTTGCGATGTCGAGGCAGCAGCAGGAGGTCCGGCAACAGGTCCGGCCACAGGTCCGGTAACAGGCCCAGGAAGGTAGACCAGATCCTGAGGCTCGTCTGACACATACCCACTGGCTTGGGAAAACGACAGCCAGAAGCGTGACCCAGGCTCGTGCCGAGCCTGAAGCGCAGGAATGGGATGGAACGGTCCGGAGAGAAGCAACCAGATGCACCCAGAAACAGCAAGAGCCAACGCCACTATAGCATGCACGCGCTTAGGGATATGCATTCTGAGAACTTCTGCAGCAAGCACTATACCTAAAGCGAGTGACACTACAGAGATGAAACCCCAGGCAGGGGGAGCAGAGAGCCATCTGGGGATCAGGTAGGGCGAGGAGAGCAGCCAATGGCAGAGGAACATGAGGCTGCCGTGGCCAATGGCGGCTTGACACGTGCGCAGGCACCCGTGCTTCGTCCAGTGAGCGCGTTTCTGCCGAAAAGGGAGCATTTCTTCGTCCTCTCGAGTCAGAGCTGCTCTGTCCAAACTGCCTAGTCTGTCCCACGGACCCTCCCACGGCAGTGATGCTGCTGCCTTCCATGCCGCACTCTGGCCGGTATGAGGTAGGTTCTGGCAAGCGTTGTAGCACTTGCGTTCTCTGCTGCGCACCCGAACCACACACAACCCTTCACAACCTCCTCCTGCTCCGTCAACCGTCTCCATCCCCCCTTCACCTCCCCCTCCCCCTCCCTCTGCCCGTCCCCCCTCTCCCCTTCTTCCTCCTCCGTTCCCTGCCCCATACCCCTCCACACGGCCGTCGGCCCTGTACCCCATACTGTCGCACTCGCTAAGCTCCACAGTCGTCTCCCACTGCCGGCTGCTGCGCCACTCAGCTCTGAGCTTCCCTTCAGACGTCTCCACAGAACCAATCTCGAGGCCAAAGTACCCCAGCACTCCCCGCGCAGGCTCCCGCCACTCAGGGTATCCCTCATTGCCTTCTAGAGAACCCTCGTTACATTTAGGCGTACCCTCGCTGCAGCGCCCGTCTTGCTGCTCTGGCCCATGTCCCTCGATCTGCTCTTCCGAGTCATGCCCTGCTGCTCCCTGCCGACCTGACTCCCCATTCCCCTGCACCTCAGCTCCCGCCTTCCCTCCATATCCTGTACACTCCCTCCCCTCCCCTTCTCTCACAGCCGCTCTTTCCACTGGTACTCCCCTTTCCTCTACCTCGGAATTGCATTTACCCCCAAGCGTCCCGTCCGCACAGAGCACTCCTATACACTCACACCCGTGTGGGGAATGACACGCACACGCCACTCCACTCGCCCCAGCGTTACTGTCATTATCACTTTCACTCATCACCACAGTCCCGCCCTCCCCACCGTTCTCCACCTCCTCCTCTTCCTCCATAAACCCCCCCAGCATATCAGCCACCCAGACAGGTCCTGTGGCAGCATTCCCTCCCGCACCTGCTGCTGCCGAGGCGGATACAGTGCGTGATCTGTCATAGGCCGATGACGAGGCGTCGTGCGATTCGTCCACGCTGCCCCCCCAGCCCTGGCTGTTAGGCTCGGAGGACGTTCCAAGGCATCCCGAGCCTGTGCTGAATGGGCGGGCAGCAGCAGGTTCGGCAGCTTGGGCTTTTACTGATGCTGGAATGACCTCCCGTTGTTGCTGTCCCATCTGCTGCTGCTGCTGCTGCATCTCTTCTTGGGCCCCATCAACCGTAACTGCTACGAAACTTGCATTTGCTGCCCTCAACTCCGCCCTTTCCTGACCGTCTCCAACCATCTCCATGCACCGCTCACCGCTCTTAACACCTCCCTCATTCAACACGTTCACAGAATCCCACTGCTTCAACCCCGCCTCCTCTGCCGCCCGCCACCCTCCCTCCGACTCCACACTCCAGTCATCCTCACTCAACACAGTCCCTTCCAACCTCTGCCCACCGCGCCCAGCCGGCCAGTACCCCTGCGCGCCCTCCGCGCTCCCGCTCCCGCCCACCATCCGCCGACCCTCCTCCTCCTCCCCTTCCCAGTCCCGCAACTCTTCATACAGCAGCAGCGCCGCCACCCACGCGCCGGGGAGCACCGCCAGCAGCAGCAGCCCCCACCAGCGCGCGAGCAGCGGGTTCCGCCCGCCGAACGCCAACTGCAGCGCCTGCAGCAGCAGCAGCCCCCCCGCGAGCCCGAACCCGACCCTCCGCCTGCGCGCAGGGGGCGCAAGCCACAGCCCCTCCCCTATGTATAACCCTACCATGGCAACTCCTGCTCCGCTAAGAGCAACCCCCCATATAGTGGTTTCGACGCCCTCCCTGCTGCCGCCCACGCCGACCACGCCGCCTAAGACGAGCAGCGCTCGGAGCACGGGATTGGTGGAGAGCAGCTGGTGGAGAAACTCGTGACCTAGCACGAGACCTAAGAGAGGGGAATGTGGCGACGGGGAAGCGCAGGGGGAAGGGTTAGGGGGGAAGAGGCAGGAGGGAAAAGATTAGTGGAGAGGAACAACGGGACGAAGGCGCGTTGGCAACGGGTAGAGCGAGGCATGAGACGGGTTGGGGAAGAGGCGCCGGCAATTGGGCGACGCGCGAACTCGATGGACGGTAGGGATTCGACATCCATGAAGTCGCGTCAACGGCCAGCACAGCACCAGAATCAAGCAGTTTGTCGCTGCGACGGCCTACCTGGAACGAGCTGCAGGCGACTGCGACGACCTCTCTGCGACGAGTATCTATTCGACTGCGACAACCTACCTGGAACGAGCAAGTAGACGAGGCGGGGGGTGTGCGACGTGGGGCCCTGTGCGACGAGCATCAAATCGAATGGAAACCTACCTGGGACGAGCAGAAAGCCGAGAAGGAGGATGTGCGACGTGAGGCCCTGCGTGGCGAGCATGAACCAGTACACGCTGCGCGGGGAGCACCTAACTGAATGGAGCCCTACCTGGGACGAGCAGGTAACCAAGCAGGAGGATGTGCGACGTGAGGCCCTGCGCGGCGAGCATGAACCAATACACGCTGCGCGGGGAGCACCTGACTGAATGGAGCCCTACCTGGGACGAGCAGGTAAGCAGGAGGATGTGTGACGTGAGGCCCTGCGCGGCGAGCATGAACCAGTACACGCTGCGCGGGGAGCACCTGACTGAATGGAGCCCTACCTGGGACGAGCAGGTAACCAAGCAGGAGGATGTGTGACGTGAGGCCCTGCGCGGCGAGCATGAACCAGTACACGGAGCGCACGAAAGCCATGAGGCTCGTCCAGAACAGCAGCCCCACGAACGCCTCCGTCGGCAGCTGCACCACCGGCCGCACGAGCGGGTGGCGGAGGAAATCCAACCGCCCCACGCGGCGAGACTTCCACGTGTCAACTAGCCTGTGTGAGGGAAAAAAAGGGGCGAGGAGGGGAAAGGAAATGCTCGTATGGTAGCTGAACCACTGCCCGCACGAGCGGAAGAAGTCCAACTGCCCACGCGGCGAGACTTCCACGTATCTAATAGTCTGTGTGAGGGGAGAAGGGAAAAAAGGAATGCTCTTATGGTCGCTGAACCACCAGTCGTAAGAGCGGATGGCGGCGGAAAGTCAACTTCCCCATGCGACGAAACTTCCACGAGTTGACTCGTTTGCTGGGAACGGCAGCGCGCGTGGGAAAACGGCAATGAGGCGTCGCGGCAACCAAATTCGTTCCGAATGAACGTGTTACAAGCGCAACAGCATACGACTGATTTTCCCAGCTAATTAACCGCAGCCACCGCACGAGCACGCACCACTCCCATGCCGATGCGGGCGTGGTTTGCCGGTCCACGAGCCCGAATATCGGCCCTTGCGACCCCCACGCGCGCGGCATGATTCCCTGCCCGAAGATTCTCCGCACTCGCCGCGGCACCAGCCTGTCCCAGCTGGCCGCTCCGAGCTGCAGCAGCTGCGCTCTCCGCTCCCCCCATCCTCCGCCACTCCCGCTTCCGCCCACGCCTTCCGCCTCCCCTCCGCCATCCTCTCTATCGTTGCAAAGGGCTTGCGCCTCCCCTTGTTCTCCCCCGAGCTCAAGCTCTTGCGCGTCATTCTCGGCTTCAACTACGGGAGCTAGGGCGTGGGGCATGGGCGGGGATGGGGATTGCATCTGATACAGGTTCCATTCGGTTTGGAGCGATTTGGCGTCCTCTGGGGTGTGTAGGTTCGCGGAGGTGAACCGATAGGGATTGCTCTGGCATAATGGGGAGGAGGGATTGGAGGAGCCTGGAGAGCTGTCGCTGTCTGATTGGTCTACGAACCTCGTGTATGCTGACCGGCGGGGTATACCCATGCCAAACAGCTATTACGTGAACTTCGGAAAGGCTTTGCTCGAGTAACTAATGTGGCATCCTGATTACAGCAACACAAAATTCGGTCGCTTCGGTCAACCGGAACTAAGGAAACCAGCAGAACGAGAGAACTCCCTGACGATGGATGGGACAGAACCGCCTACAAGTGATGGTTGCCTGCCTACCAACCTACGCATCCCAGAGAACGAAGCTGGAATTGCTTCTGGTTTCACCTTCCGAAACTCCCTCCCTGAACTCTACTACTGGAACTTGAATCCGCTGACAAAAAAATAACTCTGCTGGGGAACTCCGCTTTTCGTTTTACCTCCTCGCCTTGGTTTCAGCGACTCTCCTCGGAAACTCCGCATTTTGTAGTCCTGCAATCTGGTTCGTTGGATTCCACCTTGGTTCTTCCCATTTGCGAATCTTGCTCCGCTGTTCGACCAACCTGTAGGCTCGGCTGCTGCGCACCGCTGCTAGCTTCCGCCGTGGGTGATACAATAACGAGGGGCGTTTGCCGGGCTCCACCTTCGCAGACCCTCCACCTCTGTCCCCGACTGACGGGACGGATTGTCGGCGGCAGTCCCGGTGCTGTTTATGTGACAGGAATTTCTCGCGGCAATTGGCGGCAGCCAATCACAGACACAATCTGCCTTATCCCTCAAACGGTTAGGCTTGACGGACCGTCCGATAGGAGCGGATGGGATGTTGGCCCTTGACCCATGATCTGCGCCTCCGCGTACGTGCCGCCGCTTGCCGAGCCTGATTCTGAAACTTCCCCACCGAAACTGTCAAGGTGCAAGGACATCTGGGCTGTCTTCGTTATGCACATACTCTGTACGAAGAACCTCAGTGAGCTGATGCGTATACTCGTATGAGCTCCTGAATACTACCTAATTGCAATAAAATAGTCCCTTGCAAAATGTTCATCATTCATATTACATCCATGTACAGTTCAATGTACAAACTTTTATTTTCACAATTTCCATCATATATATGTATTGCGAACCGGAACACGCAATAGGGTTTTTTAAACAGGGGCAAAATCCAACAACTCGCCACTCTACACCTAGCGACAGTGACGACAATGTAAAGAACTGGTACCTTGAAAGATGCTGCAGACAACACATGGTCTGGTCACGGCAGTTTATATGGAATGCCATCCCAACGTTCGCAATATCTTACATTACCGTAACAAACAACAAGAATCGGCGAGCGCGCAATGCATTGTGATACTAAAGGCGTTATTGTCATAACTTATATTATGTAACTGCCTGTAGCTGTAGTAAGTGTAGTTATTTAAATCTGTAGGTGGTGCACCTCTTCACTTGTTTTCCTTTGCTATATGTTCTTCGAAACTATAGTGAAACTCATTCTTCCTCAACTCACTCGAACCTCACCCTTGGCTCAACGCACTCGACATCCTATTTGGGCCTAGGCTACTAAGCCTAGGCCCTAGTTAAAACTCACTCATTCTCTCGTATATTTCATCATGGTATCAGAGCGCGTTACGACTTGGCCTGTGGGCCCGCCTAATGCTTCCGCTGCTGTATTTCTGGTCGCGCGCCTCGGGCGCGTGACGTCTTTCTTTTCTACCCGTCGCAGACCCGCCCCTGGCGCCCGCGATGGCGCTCTTAGCCGTCGCGGACCCGCCTCTGGCGCCCGCGGCGGTGCCCTTAGCCGTCGCGGACCCGCCTCTGGCGCCTGCGGCGGTGCCCTTAGCCGTCGCGGACCCGCCTCTGGCGCCTGCGGCGGTGCCCTGAGCCGTCGCGGACCCGCCTCTGGCGCCCGCGGCGGTGACCTTAGCCGTCGCGGACCCGCCTCTGGCGCCCGCGGCGGTGCACTGCGCCATCGCGGACCCGCCCCTGGCGCCCGCGGCGGTGCCCTTGAGCCGCCGCGGACCCGCCCTTGGCGCCTGCGACGGTGCTCTCCGCACCTGCATTCCCTGCAGCTGCCCCTGACCTACCTGCATCGACCCTGTTTAGCCGCTCTGCGGCTTTCTTCCCGCCCACCCCCTCCTTCGTCTCCCTGCAGCCGTGGGGGGGAGGGTATGGGGGTGGCGGGTGTTGGAGTCTTGGGTCGTATCCTTCCCTTCCCCTCCTCCTCCTTTTGTTCCCACTGCTGCAGCTGCCGCTGGGGGGGAGGGTGTGAGGGTGTGGGGGAGCAGGGGGAGAGGCACCGGGGTGGCGGGTGTGAGGCAACCAGCAGCCGTCCCTCCACCTCTCCTCTCTTCCCCCCCTCTCTGCTGCTCCTGCAGCAGTGTGGGGGAGGGGAAGGAGGAGGGTGAGAAGATGGAGGGGGTGACCTACTTGTGTCAGCTCGCCTGCAGTTCCTGCTGTTGCTTTTTTTCTTTATTATTTTGCATGTGTACACCTGCAGGTTGTATTCTACACAAACTCCTGCTGCAGGCAGTTATGGGGGAGTGTCAGAACTTATATTATGTAACTGCCTGTAGCTGTAGTTAGTGTAGTTATTTAAATCTGTAGGTGGTGCACCTCTTCACTTGTTTTCCTTTGCTATATGTTCTTCGAAACTATAGTGAAACTCATTCTTCCTCAACTCACTCGAACCTCACCCTTGGCTCAACTCACTCGACATCCTATTTGGGCCTAGGCTACTAAGCCTAGGCCCTAGTTAAAACTCACTCATTCTCTCGTATATTTCATCAGTTATATGTCGTGTTGATCATCCGCAGCCCGTGCGTCAACCTAAAGCCAGCCCCTCTCAACCGATCGACTACGGAGTATAATATAGCAACAACCTTCCGTAATGCAACACCAAACTCTATCACAGTGCCGTCAACCCAGCACGACGATAGCTCCGATGCACTAAGCCCAAAATGGGTTTACGTGCACCCGATTGCAACGGAGATGCCAACGAGCTAATCGGTCTCGTCCCGCTGCGCTTCCGCGAGAAAATGCAGTTCGATTCGACTCACCCAGACGGCAGACCTTGGGTGCCGCATCATGCTTACCCTCACGTGGCTAATATTCACAATCCTATACCAGATGGAATTTGTCGTGGTTGCCACACACTTTAAAGCATCAATAAGCAATGTCGCCAGCACATGACTGAAGACAATCGGAAAGACACAGGGGCAAAGACTGCTCGAAGAAGGATGCTTTGGAATAAACTCCGCACCGCCGTGGTCTCAATAATGAGTACCGCCATCCACAATCACCACAAAACCGATTCCGAACGCACACAACTATTTTCCGTAGCCACACGAAACTGTGTGGCATTCAACAAACAAAACCAACATCACCCTGTCAGTAGATCTGCACTGTGGATGCCCGATTGATCCTGGAGAGGGTTATAGGCGCATTCGCCTAGGGGGTTATGGGCGCACTAACCCGCCACTGAAACAAGCCCTTTTATCCCAATGGTCTAATGGTTGGGATTCTGACATGGTATCAGAGCGGTCTCGGGTTCGATTCCCGGTGTATGCACATGTAGGCCGTTGCCGCTGTGCTTAGTCCTCGGCCTCCCAGTATGGGGGGGTGTAAGTAGATCTGCACTGTGGATGCCCGATTGATCCTTGAGAGGGTTACAGGCGCATTCGCCTGGGGGGTTATGGACGCACTGACCCGCTACTGAAACAAGCCCTTTTATCCCAATGGTCTAATGGTTGGGATTCTGACACACCCATATGACTAGTTGACCTCCACTTGTTGTACTCCCACTAGCACGACCAAGGCATAATATTCATCCTACAGAAGGGAAAAAAATAAGCACGCCAAGAAGCAGAAGAATAAGCGCGCCAAGAAGCAGGAGAATTGCGCTAAGAAAGTGACGAACGTCGCCGTCGCATCACCCCAAGTGACACGGGTTGGGGCAACAACACAGGCGGTAGCTGAGGAAGGTATGAAGGTAGGAGGATAGACATCGACTAAGGTTGAGGGTCAGATTTAGGAGGCTCGGGAGGAGGCAACACAAATCAAGGCCCCAACTTTAACACACGGGGCTCCGCAGACAACCGTGAAGGACAAAGGGGGGGGGAATTGCAGAGGCAACTAAACATGCTATTGCTGCACTTGGTCTCCCTCCACCGCAAGCAATACCACAACCTAAAGAATCACCAATGACCCTAGCGATAACAATCCCGTGCGATTGCCTATGGTTCCAATCCGACCAGTCTGTATTTTCTCACACCAACAACCTATGATCCAGACTATGTTCGTGTTTGTTATAACAACAAACGGCTAGTCTCGGAGAACATTTAAGGACCGAATTCGCTCATTCTCTTTCGATCGGAGTCTGAACTAGAAGGGTCGTGCCACACCAAAGGCACCAAAATTCACCAAGAACACGGCATCAGAATCCATCAAACACTTGGGAAGCAGTACAAGTGCTACAAAGATGCTAAAAAGACCGCTAGATGCTGAAATCTTCATTCCCGGTCCATGCTACGCCAGGATGGCACGCAACTAAAGTCCACCAGCCAACTCTACGTCTCGATCGTTTGTCCCGGAACCACGCTTACCCATCAACTCGCCCCGTTACATTGACATGGCATTTACCGTTATTCGAGATTACAAAAGGTCTATGCAGTCTTCATTGTTGTTGGCTCCAACGAGATCAATTACAAAACATACACTCTCACCTTCGTCGACACCAACACCCGATATTCCTGGGTGGCCACTATTATGTTTTGAAGCAGTGCATACGAAGTTTTTTTGGCTTTGCTTATTCAGGCGCAACGACATACAGGATAGAAACTAAAGATTCGGCACACCGACGGGCGCAATATAATCCGCAGCAAAGTACTTCAAGATTACCTTGCGGCGGCACATCTTTT